CGGCCCCGGCCCCGGCCCGGCCCCGCCGCCGCGCCCGCCCATTTCGTGCGGGCGGTTGGCGGGGAGGACGCGCAGAGGGCAGCGCAGCGCCCATGGCCGCCGCCAAGCCGCTGTCGCGCTTCTGGGAGTGGGGCAAGACCATCGTGTGCGTGGGGCGCAACTACGGCGAGCACGCCAGGGAGATGGGCAGCGCGCCGCCCCGCCAGCCGCTGCTCTTCCTCAAGCCCGCCTCGGCCTACGTGCGCCAGGGCTCGCCCGTGCTGCGGCCCTACTACTGCGCCACGCTGCACCACGAAGTGGAGCTGGGCGTCGTGGTGGGCAGGCGCGCGCGGGCCGTGGCGCCGCACGCCGCCATGGAGCACGTGGGCGGCTACGCGCTCTGCGTCGACGTCACGGCCAGGGACACGCAGGACGAGTGCAAGGAGAAGGGGCTGCCCTGGACCCTGGCCAAGGCCTTCGACACCTCCTGCCCCGTGAGCGACTTCGTGCCCAAGGAGCGGATCCCTGACCCGCACAAGCTGAAGATCTGGCTCAAGGTGAACGGGGAGCTGAGGCAGGAGGGGGACACGTCCTCCATGATCTTCTCCATCCCCTACCTCATCAGCTACATCAGTGAGATTATCACGCTGGAGGAGGGCGACCTCATCCTGACGGGGACGCCCAAAGGCGTTGGGGCGCTGGAGGTGAACGACGAGATCGAGGCTGGCATAGACGACATCCTGTCCATGCGCTTCACCGTGGCGCAGCAGACGCGGCGCTGCTAACGGAGCGCCCGGCGGGACCGCGGCTGCGCGGGAAGAGGCGCCGGGAGGCGGCCGGTGAAGGGAGGCACGCGCAGGCCCTGGGGTGTTCAACACCGGCCTCTTCCCCTCTTGCCAGAGGGGTCCCCCTTCTTGGGGGCCCCTTGAGGTCCCTCTTCTTGGGGTCCCCCCTCTTGCCAGAGGGTGTCTGGGCTCACCACAGGCGCGCACCACAGACACGGGCACTGTTTGAACGTGGGGCTTTATTTGCACAACTGATGCCAGAGAAGCTCAACAAATCTGTCTTGTACTACTTGTTATCTCTGAATTTTCCAAATACATTCTAAATTCAATGAAAATTATAATTATAAAGGTTTAATTTAGTAGAATTAACTTTTCTTCAGCTAAGGCCCTAGTAAGCTTTTTAAAGAACAATTATCTAAAAAGATCATTACAGAAGGCCCCTTATGGGGATTAGTAACATATACTCCCTCCTTATGATCTTACTTAGCAAAATCCAGTGACAACAGCATTCTGTCTCAATGAAGAAATGAAGAAAAAAACTTTTTTTTTTTTTTTTAATTGCCCCGGCGATTAAGGAGCCACGTAGTGCGATCTTTTTCCTTTTCGCAACAAGCTCTGACTTGCCTCCGTAGGGTCTGCCAGTTTGCATGACAGTACATTCACTTTCAGTCCTGTTCTCCAACTGGGTGACAAAGTAAGCTGTAAAATAAGTCAAGTTCTTGGGTTTCATTACTAAAAAACACTTTGAAATTTCTTATTTACAACCATCACACAGCATGTTTAATTGACAGATGTGGTTATACATACTCTGTATTTTTTACATAAATATACATAATGTCATAAACCTGTCATTACTGAAGTAAAATGTTTTACATTTTACTGAAAATAGGGATAGAGAAGATGGAGGAGTAAGAAGTGTTCTGTTAAGAAGGACAGATTTAAAAATCAGTTTAAAAGTCAGTTTAGAGATGCCCTACAATGGGTTATGAAAGGGGAATTCTGATCAGTGTGAAGTAATACCTCAATGTATCTCCAAAAATTCAGGTCAAGGAGGAAAAATACAGGTAACTAAATAATAAATATATGTTTTAAAATATCAACTAAGCATTACTCTTGGAGATACTGTTAACTTTGACCATTATAGCCCTACAGCCCTAGAAATCAGTGACTTCAACTTTATTATATACAAGTTCTTCCAACATCAGTGCCTTAATCAGTATTGACTAGGAGCTATCTGTGTCTTTCTTAGTTTTCCTGAAAGGGGCCTGCAAATCTGATCCTGCAGAGATACCATCTGGTGCTGAAATTGTGTTAAAATAGTATTTGCTTTGAATATTCAGAATATGTACAAAAATAAAACTTATTTTAAAAAATCCGGTAGAACTGACATGCAATTTTTCAATAGTAAGTATACTGCCTAATTGGAAACTTCCATTGTTTATTGTTAAATACTGACTTTAAAATAAATCTTGCTTCGTTCCAAAAGAAGGTGCCATTTCAATGCAGTCTTCTTGTCTTCTGTTAGAGTTAGGAAGTCATGGACCTATTAAGGACATGATACCACAGAACATTTTTTCTGCATATAGCTGTAAAAACCTCCAAAACAATGAGGAGGAAAAGAGCATCCTACTCATTTTAATACATTTCTAAATTGTATTATTTTTTCGTATTGCATAGGAATTGGTGGGATATACAGATCAAGACAGACAGGCTGATTACAATAAATTGTAGGGTTCTTGAGAAGGAAAGTTACGAATATCAACTGTTCTTAGAAAAGTAGAAATGAAAATAAAGTGGTATCCTTAATAGGCTATTCATTCTTTCATTTAACATGTTTCTTCATATTAGTATTTATTGACTCTTATTTTTGATTACTTAAAAAAGTATATGTGTGTGTCCATATGAATATATATATATGCATACATACATACATCATCTTTTAAAACAGTGTATGTTTTATATGTGGAGAATGTTTAAATATATTTGTAATGTTCATCAGGCTTCACAGCTCAGGTCAGACCAAGGCAAAACTAAGGTGCGTGGACTCACTGTGCAGCCCAGCGCCTCCTCAGCTGCGCAGTCGGACAGGTACCAGGAAGGCAGAGTGCCCGAGTGGTCGGACACGTTGACCAGTATGTCGAAGCTTGTGAAGGTCGCCTTGGCGTCTGCAGGGAGGTCACCACAGAACGCGCACGCGTTCGCCGCTTCGTTCACCACGCAGCGGCATCCTGAACTGAAGCACATGCACCATTAAAACACGCAGGCAAGCGCTCATTGCTTGAAACTGTTCTCTAGGATTCAGCATTTCCCAAGGGATTCTGACAAAATTCTTCATCTTCTGCACTCAAAGCCCACCTAAGACAAAATGGTCTCCTCCTCCTCTCCCCTGAGACCAAAAACAGCTAGTCCTTCAAAAACTCAGCTGCTTCTGCTCCTCCTGAAACTACACAACAGATGCTCACAGAGCATTATCCAGAGCCATCTTATTACTTCTTTTCTGGAACTAGACTAAAATATTGTTCAGTCTTATTTAGATCGGGGGGAGAACAGGATAAAACATTTTAGTACAAATTGAAAACAGGCAGCTGCTTACCATCTTTTGCGAATAATTTTAGATGCATCATTATCGATGTCCAATGTAGAAATGAAGCCATAAATAATGCCATAGATGGGTTCAAGTTTCCCATCATTTTGTAAAGCTTTTGCTTTCAGCTCTTCCACAGTATAAACATCAACTATAGTCTCCACTAAAAGTTAAAATACATGTTAACTGTGTCTAAAATAGCAGCAAACAACAGCAACAACAGCAGCAAACAACAGCAAACAACAGCAGCAAACAGCAGCAACAACAAAAGCATTTGAAGTTAATAAAAAGGATTTAGGATTTGACCTAAAGCACCAGAAAAGCCCCCAAGCACTTTTCTTTTGGAGCATGCTTATGATTCAAGGACACAAAAAAAAAAAGATTAGTCAAATCAGGAAAATATATGATATTTAATCCCTATATGTCCCCCTCAAAATGAATTTTTGACTAAAAATTTCCCCCTCCTTTTTTGTTATTTACTCAAGCCACACAGAATAGTCAGACAGGCTGCAAGATGGATGAAAGCACCTGGATCCTTACTCACAGTTAGTGAATTCTTTTGATTGTTCCTCCATTTTATTGTCCAAAGCTCCTGATTGTGCAGTCTCTTTTAGGAAGCTGAAGAGAATATTTGCTTCTGCTGTGTCTGAAAAATATATATTCAAAAAAAAAAAAAAAAAGTAACTTGTCCAAATGATAAAATACTTCTACAAGTTTTTTTGGGGTTTTTTTTTTTTTTTGTTGTTGTTGTTGTTGTTGTTTTTTTATTCTGCTAGTACCAACATCATGTCTATGTCAATTTTTGCAATTCCATACTAGGAATGACTAAACAGACTAGGAATCTTTAAGATTGACATAGCAATAATTGAGCCACACATGATACAAGTGCATTCAGTTGTGATGGCTCCTTGGGAAACAGGCTGTTAAAAAGTGGAAGGGGAATAGCAAGTAAATATCCCTTGCTGCTTGAACTATGGCCATTCTCTTCTTCTGATAACTGTTATCTACAGAAAGTGCTGCCAAATGCTGAAGGTAACTCATAAGCAGACAGCTGTTACGAGATTAGGCTAAGTTAGATGGAATTTTATACATCTCTATGCACAGATATGGCTGGCTAAATTCTGCATTTTGAAAGGCCCACAGTTATTGTTAGGTTCACGAAAATGCACATGAAATTTTGAGAATACTTAACAGATCTCACCTGGATTAGTTGTAATAATGGTTTTTGATATCACAGTGGCAGTCATACAGTTTCTAAATTTGTCAAAATTTATTCTCACATCCGATGCAAATATTACTAGGCACAAAAACAAATATCATGTTACTTTAAAGCAAGTATCACATTAAGAACTACAAATAATAGCAAAAATATCAAAACTAGAAAATGATACCTGTTTCTCGTGGGATCCAACTTTGTGCAAGCTGGATAGATTCATTATCCCAACTAAATTAACAAAAAAGCTAGTCAGTCAAAACATTTTGAATCATTTTGGACATATGTGAAAAATAATACATATTAGCTTTATGTCACTAAGGAGCATTTATCTGCCTTCAAATTACTAAATAATACAGTTATAATTAGTTGGTCAAAGGGGACACTGTCCCCTTTTAATATGTCCATTCAACTGGCATGTTGTGGATACCCAAAGTCATCTAGTTTGCACCCTGTTGCTATGCATTTACTACTGATCTAATACAGTCCCTGGATTATTCCATGCAGGATAAAATAAAGCACCGTGAGGTTGTTCAAAATGATTAAATGGAGCATATACCTGGAAAAATAACATGTCTATTTCAGAGCTTTGAGAAAAAAAATCTAACTAGAACAAATCAGAGTAAAAAATAACTGCTTATCAGCTGAGTCTTTTCTGCAGGAACAAGCTGATTGCTCACATCCCTAATCCAAATGCTCAGCCAGCTTTCTGCCACTGGAATCCTTGCAACTGTGTGCAGTCAAGCTAGACTGAGGTCAGTGATGTCCCTCAAAAATGATAGCTTGATGGCGAGGTCCCTTGAAACACCTTATTCACATTTCCTTATAAGTCTGGAAAGTGAAAGGATGGCTGAAAAATGTCAAAGCTTTTTCTTGTTGTTTTCTTTCTTTTCAATTCTTGGGAAATTTTAAGGTTTTGTTTGTTCTACCTTCTACCTATAGCTCCATGAGCAAGAGGCATTGCTTACAGAGACTACAGTCTGCTTTTGAGAGCCCCTCAAATACACAGTCCTGTCACTGCATAGCAGCCCTGAAACAGAAATATATCTCATCAACATGGCTCAAAGCAACTGCTGCAGATTTGTATGGTGGCAGCTCAAGGACTTGAAAACTGCACATAGCACAGATGCTTGGTAACATCCATGTGCAGGAATTGTGTTAAACATTGCATGGATTGATAACACAGTTTTATGATTCTGACAGGCAATGCTATCTCGTTATCTGCATTTAGTGAACAAAGGCCATTGCAACCAGTAAGCACTAAACTCTGTGCAAACTATTCCCTCAGAGCCTTGCATTTACCACACAAACCAGGCTTGCAGCTGTGTGCAAAACGCAGACGGTCTCGGGCAAAGAACTCAGTCATTTATCCATATCATTGGCAATACTTATAATGCATTTGGAATTATGCTTTATTTTGCCATTCATGAGCTAGCTGTCTTACAGACATTACAGACAGGTAATACATATCCAAGGCCTTTCTATTAAATCTTTTTTAAGTCTTGGTTTGATCAATAATACTGCCTCATCACAGCAGCCATCCAAAAAAACCTAAATATTTTAATTAGAAGACAACATTATATCAATAGTTTAAATATTATTTCTTTACCTACTCTTGTATTAATTGATGTATTTTAGTAATTTAAAATACATTTTACCATACTATTGGAAAAGACATCTCTGTTTCATCAAACAGCTTTACTTCACACCTCTGACCTTTTCTTTTGTCTGCAGTGACAAAATACTTTGGCTCCCCAACCTTTAAAGAGTAAGACAAGCAGTTACTTTTCCTCTACTCTGCTAAACATTCTTTAGAAGTGATAAACTAAAACAGAAGAAAACAGAATAGCTGGGGAAAAGCTCTATTCTCCACCAAAAGAAGGAAGTTTAACAGTAATTTTACTTTAACAGAAAGGGACATATAAAAACCTTACATATTTGCAAGGTATGCACTGGAAAGCTGACTCTATGTAAAATATTGTCTGCTACACATGATTTCAAAAAGATAAACAATCTAGGACATTTCTAGTCCCTTCATTTTCCCCTGCTCTTGCTTATGAAACTTATAAGTAACTTATGTGGTTATTTAGCTGAATCAAAGTGATAACTCATCTAAATAAACAGAAAATACTAATTCCGGTCCACTATGAGTCCAGAAATCCACATTCATACTTAGGTCAATTAAGTTACCAACACTACATTGGAGAAAAACTGTTTATTCTCATGTGGCCCTTTAACTTACTGACATTACAGCTGCAAGTACATTAAGGATCCTTCCATTGAGGCTTTGTCCATTTGCAACGATGTCGCCCAGTGAATAATAATCCTGAGGGTCCTTGACAGGCAGATGCAACAGAGAAAGCAGCTTGGTGTCCATTTCATAAGCAGAGCAAGTTTTGACCACTGAGTGATTTTCACTGATCAATAGTTTGTAGCAACTAGACAGTATATACAAAACAAATGGCATCAGCCAACATTGCACTTACCAATCTACAAAGTGCAAAATATGAATTCAGTTCACATGCAAATA